AACCACACTGACATTAACCTTCTCAGTCACTAAATGAGTCTTCTCAATGCCTTAATCTGGAATGTAAATACGATTCTTCCCAAACACACATCCCAATCGCTTGCGGAACCACTGTCCGTTCTTCCTACAAGAAAAGGTTGGAGTCTCTGGGACTTTTCCATCAAGAAAAACAATGGCTAAAGGGGGAGACAGCAGAAGCTTATAAAATTTTGAATGGGGTGGAGAGAAAGGGAGCTTTTTTCTCCCTCTCCCATAATATTGGAGCTCAGGGGGCACTCAAATTGTTAGAAAAACGGTTCAGAACAGACAAAAGGAAATACTTCTTTACTCAATGAGTAGTTAAATTGTGGACTTTACTGCCAGTGAATGTACTGATAGTCATGAGTGTAGTAGCTGGATTTAAAAGGGAGTTAGACAGATGATCTGTGGAGAAGGGTACATCAGTGTCAAGTAAGCCATTGACCTCTATGCCCTGTTATATTAGTCCTCCAGGTTGCCTGCTGTGTGAGACACAATATTGGACTAGGTGGACCACCGGTCTGAGCCAGCAGGGTTCTTCTGATGTTCTTATGTAATCTGTTATCTTTTGACCTAAATGTTCAAGGAAAAGGTATTCAAAAGGGCATGCAACAATTCCCACCACACTCAGCTCTCAAGCAGCCAGAGAATTTCTACTTGATTAACCATTTAAAGACGTGTACATATTGCCAAAAATTCAATGCACGTGCCTTGCTGGGGCTACGCAGTACTAAGATTAGTACAGCGGTCAACTAGGGCTGCAATCACACACACTAAATAATGCACTTTCAATCCACTTTCAGTGCACTTTCAGTGCACTTTCCAACTGGATTTTACTGTGTGAACTGGCAAAATCCAGTTGGAAAGTGCACTGAAAGTGCATTATGTAGTGTGTGTGATTGCAGCCTAATAGTATTATTTAACTGTGATCGAATACTGTCAAATACTGCATGAGTGCTGGAGTCAGTGGCAGCTTCCCTTTTTGATTTCATGATGGTGGCATTTTTTTACAGCCAGGATGGGGGGGAGGGGAGGCCTTAGTCAGGGTCAGTCCTAGCAGCAGAACCAGGCTTTGCTTTGTTACACCTGCAGACATTCCTAAACAGGAGATAACATGGGGGAAAGGCCCCTGGTTCCATTGGGTTTTACACTGCTGCTATACCTGAACAGTCTCTGTTGTGGCTCCCAGGTTGTGGAACGGCCTTGCCTGAGAAGGTCAGCAGGTCTCCTCTTACTCTGCAGAATGTGCAAAGCAGAATTGCTCAGATGGCTTTTCCCCCCTAAAGGGGTGTAGTAAATGGAATGGCTCAGGAGGGTGCTTGCATAAAGGGAATAAGATTCAGGGCTGCCATCTGATTCACTTATGGGGAAAACCCAGTGGTAATTCCCTTTTTAGGAATTGCTGGGAACTCTATGGTAAAAGCATAGATGGTGCTTTTAAAAAAGATTTCTCCCATCACAACTCTGGTTTTACCATAGAGTTTCCCGCAATTCCTAGAGAGCTGTGACATCATCGCCAGGCTTTCTCCAGAAGCGACATCACACTGCTGGGGGGGGTGGGGTGGACTAGACCAACATACCCAACCAAATGGCCCCGCATGTGGCCTAGGGTTGCCAGATTTCTTGTTCCCACCAGCAACCCCCAAACCTCCACTGCTGCTCAACAGGCTGATGGGGAGAAAACAAAGAAAAAACACTGCTGCAGCAATGGTGTGCTGTTTCTGGGCTGCACCTGGAAGTGACATCACACCACCCTAGGATTTGGTGGGAACTCTGTCATAAAGCCATGGAATTTCTACTGAGTCCTAGAGTGGGGTGACATCACTTCTTGGTTCAGCCTGGAAATCATGTCATGCTATTATCACAACTACACTACCCCAGTCTCCTGCCAGGTGCTAACCACTGGCTGGAAACCCTAGGCATGCTGCTATTCAACATACTTGCTGGGGGTTGCATACCCCCTTGTCTGGCTACTTCTTGAAACCCAGGCCATCTTGTAACGCTAAATGCCTGCAGTATTTTTAGCTACAGATCCTGCAAAACATTAGCATAGAAACCACAATCAGAGAAGGCTGTTTTTAGAAGAATGGAATGTTCCTAAAGTGCTGTTTCCCCATAGAACATGAATGGGAACCGTTACCCCACCCTTCGCCTCCACTGTATCTGGATTCTTTACAAGTCAAATCACTTGAACGTCTTTCATTGAAAGATACTCCTGCTTGTTGGGTGAAATCATCCATCTTGGCAATGCTGCATGCCAAGGGCGTCTTTTGCCTGTGAGGCTCAGTTTGATCTGGGCTTAAAACATCAATCGATTTAGACAACTTTATGTAACCGCGTGTCCCACGCACCTCTGTGAGTCCATCCCTCTCACTACCTTCCCTTTCCAAGCTCCTTTGCAGGTATAGCATTGTTGGAAAGCTGAAAAGAAAGTAGTTGTTTGCAGTTGGGGGAAACGGCAAACTTTGACTTAAGAGAAAAGCCCCCAAATGCCCCTCCTCCCCTGCACAAAGAACACTGCCTTTGTAAACCATCATCACTTTTGTAACAGCAGCAGCTGTTACACCAATCCCCACCTTCATCTCACTCCTATTTGCATGGCTGACAACCTAAGGGACAATTTCCATGCTCCTCTGGCCTGAAAGCAAAATGACCAAAAAAGAAACGATATTACAAAGTAAAAAAAAAGAAGGAAAGGATATTATGAAGTCCTTAGATTGCATGTGTTGAGTTGCAGGCAGCCGATTCTGAGAAATCCTGCACTCTCATATATGTTGCAAGTGGCTTGCATGAATGGGAACTTCCCTCGCTGTACAGTGTGGGAGCAGGTAGGAAGTTGCGAGCCAAGCTGCAGCCAAACAGTGGTGCCACCGATCAGAGGGTCAACACAGAAGAATTTTGACAACGCCAGGAGTGGGGAAAAGTCAAAGAATGACATTTGGGGGGCGGGGGGGAAGAGAAAGAGAGAAAGAAAGAGTGCAGCTTCCATCTATGGAATTGGTTGTGAATGAATTATAGGCAGTTAGAATTTTTTTATTGACATTTGTATCAGCTGAGCCAGTCTTTTGCCAGAACCCCCAATGTCCGAAAAGTCCATTTTTAGCCTAGAAGGGGAGCATCTTTAGTGCAACACACCCCATGCAGTTGAGCAAGTCAAATTAAGCCCATTCCCTAGATTTCCTTTTGCCCACCCCACTAGTGATTTGCAAACTTTTAACAGGGGGACCCCCCCCCCTTCTACAGCTGTGGTACTTTTCAGGACCCATTTGAAAACAGTGTTGCCAACTAGCCTGGAAAAAAATATCCCACCCCTTTAACAGAGGCTTATTGGGCTGTTACTGACCAGGTGATGGTATTCACCCCCCTATGCCATGAAAGGTTTCAGCTGCCCGTTGCTACAAAATGAAACCTTTGCAAAAGGGATGGGACAGGGGCTTGTTTGCTCCAGGCAACCCTGCTTGCTAAGTAGCTCCATGCGACTTTCTTCCCAAATGTGCAGCACAGGAAACTCACGTGATTAATGACCACTGAGTAGGTTTACAGTTTATTGTCCTTGTTTAATATTAATAAATGTATGGCCTTGCTGTGCAACAGCCCATTTTCTTTGGCATCTCAATCAGAGGCAAATTCACGTTTGCCACGGGGTCTCCAAGAGACCCTCTCCCACCTCACCCCGATACTCCTCCTTCTTTCTCACCTGGTAACCCCACATGTACGGGGTAACTCCAGGACAGCCCGGACCGCACAGCGGAAGAACCCTTCCTCCCCCTCCCGACATGTCCAATGTATGTAGTCGTTTTCAGGGCTTTTATTTATATGCCCCACTTTTCTCCCCAGTGGGGACCCAAAGCAGCTCATGACATCATTCTCCTCTCCTCTATTTTATCCTCACGACACCCCTGAGAAGTAGGTTAGGCTGGGAGTGTGGGTGACTGGCCCCAGGTTCACCACCAGGCTTCTATGGCAGGGCGGGGGATTCAAACCTGGGTCCCCCACATCCTAGTCCAGCACTCTGGCTTCTGTAGCACACTGTCCTTTGCACGACTGCCAGAGAGGCGGGCGGCAGTCTATAATGTGGGGACAATTAATAAGTGTTAGTGTTCACCATCTGTCTTTTAAAATGTATTCTAATATGAATTATTGTTTTTACCTGGCCAATGTTTTTATATGGGATTGTACATGAACACAGAGCCCTGCAGTAGCAGGGATGGGGCGATTCATAAATTTAATAAAAAAATAAATCTGACAAGCAGTGTCCCCTCTAAGCTGATGCCTTCCCAAGGGAACAGATTCAATACCTCACCTGCCGACTTTCTACCTTCCCAAGGCCTTACTCTGGAAAAAAAAGAAACACGGGCAATTTTATTGGGCTGAATACTTTTGTAGCATTGTGGGGTTTAGGTGGGAAGGTGCAGCCAATTTGTGCTGCTGGGTGTGCTGGTGAAGAAAGAGACAGCAGAGTTAAGAGGATCAAAGACCCCCTATTACCCCCCTAAGAAAGCCCGCGGGTGCTTAAAAACAGAGACAGAAATCGGTGCTGGGCTTGAAAACTCGTACAGAGCACTTACCCCGAGCCTTCCACCGATTGCAGTGGGACTTGCAGCTTTCCAGTCCGCACGGAGACATTACTGGAAAAGAAGCCCCACTGCATTCAGCAGGGCTTGCTCCGGGGCAAAAAGGCGACGACGCCCGCAGCTTTCACGCCGGCCACGCTCCATAGCGTACAACACGCACGAGAGACGGGGTGGAGAACAAACGTTCCCGCGCTCGCCCCGCTTCCCATTTCTTTCCCACGCGGCTCCATTCATAAAGTGCGTGAGGAACCCTGCCGGTCAGAACGAGGCTGCTGACTCACGCTTACCAGCGCTTTCCCCCAGCCCCGCCCCCGGGGCACCCAGCCCCGCCCCCTTCTCATCGAAGGGCGCCTGTAATGTATTTAAACGGCGGCGACGGTGCGGCGACTCGCGGCTGCCTTTGGAGAAGCGCTTGTTTGCTGGCCGGGTCTTTGGCTGGAGCGGCACCTGTTGGGATTTCTCTGCCCGCGTAGCCGGTTTGTCAAGGTAAGGGCGACGGGAGCCCTCGCTTCGCTCTCTTCCCGGAGGACCAGTGGTTCTTATTCTCCACGGTGTGGCAGGGCATGCTCTTTGAATGACTCCTTGATGCACCTGAACACTTGTTCTGATGTTCTTCTTATGCAGCTCCCTCCTCCATCTAAAGTCACGTTTCTTTGCCCCCAAAATGTGTTCCAAGCCTTTGGTGATGATGAATGAGCCCTGGGTGACGGGTCGCTTTCAGCGCTGAGGGTGTTTCGTGCACCTTCCCTTCCGATTCCCCTGACAACAACCCTGCGTGGTAGGGGAGTCTTGAGTCCCCCAGGTGGCCGTTAAAAGGATGGAGCGGGGTCTGCCTCGCTCGCTGCTTCGGGAGTTTGTGGCTGGGATGTGCAGTGGAAGCTGGCAAATCGCCCCGGCTGGAACTTTCCCTCTTGGCTGCCTCAGCCCGGAGTCGTGTAAGCGCCGCTGCTGCGCCTTCTCGGCTCTCGTGCGGGCGGCTCGTCGCTCTGGTGGCGCTCGGCGGAACTGCAGGCCGGCTTCGCGGAGGGCGGCTCGGCGTGACCCTGGGCGGGGGTGAGCGAGTGCAGTTCTGTCATGCTATCTCGGGGGGAGGAGGCCCCGCGGCGAGGGAGCCTTCCGAGCAGGAGGGCAGGCGTGGGCAGTTCCGAGGAACTCTTGGGAGACCAAACAGAGCTCCCTGCTGAGGCATGTCGTTGGCCGGTTATCTCTGAACTGCACCGGCATTTCTGTGAAGGAGGAACGGGGGCTGGGGTTTTTTTACGATTGATTTTATTTGCTTCCTTGATGCGTGGCTGCTCTCCCCAAAGGGGAGCCGAAGCAGCTGACGTCACTCTCCTCTCCTCCGTTTTAACCACACAACTGGGGGCTTCCCCCCCCCCAGGGGGGACACGTTGGGACAGAGTTCTGGAACTTCTTCAGCAAAGTTCTTTTTAAAATGTTTAAAAGTTCGTGAGTTTTCAGTATGCAGATTGAAAACTTCATTTCCCTCTTGAGAGTTCCGGCACCTCCTCTTTAAAAACAAAAAACAAAAACCCTGCACACAACAGCCCTGTGAGGTAGGTTATGCTGTGAGTGTGTGACGGGCCCAAAGTCACCTAGCAAGCTTCCATGGCAGAGGGGGGATTTGAACCTGGGTCTCCTAGGTCCGAGTCCAGTGCTCTAACCGCTGTACCACACTGATTTTCTCAGCCACAAATCAAAAGGCCAGGGAGTCAACTATCTCACCGATATCTTGCATTTAATCTGCATCCTGAAAGGATGGGTGTCAGACCGCCCGCCCACCCCTTGGCGTGCTGTGTGCCAAGAGGGTTGGCACTGGCAACAACATCTTCTTTGTTCCACCTTTGCTTCTCTTACATGACTTTCATTTTTCACCAGCCTAAGAGATAGCGTCATAACTTGAAGTTCTGAACTTTCTGTCTGAATTAAAGTGGGAACTCCCGTTTTCTGAGCAGAGGCAGTAAAAGTCTGCTTCCTCTAAAGAGCTTTGGATAAATACATGGACCTTTCTTCCTCTACTTTATCCTTGCAACAGTCCTGCAAAGTGGGCCAGGATGCAAGAAAGCAGTTGACTCAAGGTCACACAGTGAGCTCCATGGCTGAAAAGGAGTTTAAACCGGGGCTTACAGTAACAACCGGCTACTATTGAAAATAGATGGATTTAACATTATATCTAAATACATGCATGTTCAACTGATGTGTATAATATCTTAAAAATGAATCAGTGGTGGGTTTCTGCTAAAAACTATGGTGGGGAGGGAGCCAAATGTGTCCTGTGGATCCGGCACAGTGACTTGAAGACTTCTTGGTTATATAATTAACCATGGGGGAGAATGTATTTTTGAAATTAAGCATTGTAAATATAGCACAATATTAATTGCTATGGGCTTGATACTGGCAGTGAAATCCTGGCCCTAGTGGAAACTTACTCCAGTGCCTTGGAATCTAGCCCTGGGCTCCTGAAGATGCAATTCTATATATTATTGGGATGATTATTGATGGATCTCCTGGGTTGACTTGCACGCTTTTCACTCTATAGCTTTATGTAACCTGAGCCCATTTTTTCAGTTCTCAAATAATTGTGGGCCTGGCTGAGTCCATTCAGAACAATGTTTACCTTTTGCAAATGGAGACACTTCCTCCTCTGAGAATAAACTGCACTGCTCAAAGTTCTGGGCCCTTTGGTGCCTCTGAACTGCTAAAGACATTTGGCAATGAGCAAAAGTGTTGGAGTGTTAGGTCTGTGTTGCTAAAAGCATAAAATTAGTGAATAGCAGGGTCCTCCTTAATCGTCTCAGCCTCTTATCTGGTTCTAAACTGGCATTTCTTAGTGATTAGGCTGACCAGTCAATATTCCTGTATTTTACATATATGGAGTACCAGTGAGAGGGACATAATCTAAACGCCCTCTCCACACACCATGGTGATTTAAATTGCCTTGTCTGATCCATCCCATCCTAGAACATTATAGTTCTGACCTGCTACCAGCATAGCCCGTCCTGGATGAGTCACTGGTTTGGGCATGCCTCCTCCAACAGCAGCTGCATTTTAGCGTCAGGAATACTTGATTTATATGTGCATGTGCAGAGGGGTCTTGCCCCAGAACTCAGTTCTGCTGCTGTAAAGCCCTGGTTGCTAATCAGTCCTAGGCATCGTGCTTTGTCATGATCTACCAGAACATCCCTAGAGCATAAATGTGCAACTTTTCTTCCCTTCGTGAGTGCTTACACTGAAAGCAATTGCAGCCCATCATTGAGAAACACATCCCTTCTCAATGTTCCTCGATATGTCCTTGCTATTCCTTGTTTTCACTCATTTAGCCTCTCTTGTACTAAAAGTATAATTGCCAGGACATCTAAGAACCTGATATGTCGCCTTCCATAGAGAGCAGATGTGTTGTGTTGTCTCTCTGACAACCAGTTTATTCAGATCATAAAAGGGGAATATTGTGGGCTGCGGTGCCAGAATGAATAGAGGTGAGTAGGATGAGGTTACCTATAATGAAGTTGGTCTGGCTTGGAAGCCTTTCTTCCAAAAACATTTGTGTTCGCATAGGACTAAATTGTGAGGGGAGAGTGAGTGAGATTATACGTAGCCAAGCAGTTAGAACAAGAGTCTCCCACCTTGCTTAATCTGTAGCCACTTGGGAATTTTGAGAAAGGGTAGTGGATGCAGCTGTGCATATCAATCAAGATTACTTCTTGTAGTGTTTTTATCAATGGGCACATGGATATTAAGGTAGGGAAGTTGCATATCTATTACACTTTTCCCTGCTGCTCCTGCAAGGGTGGTGTCAACAGTTATCTGCCACCACACTGGTCCAGGGTCACTCACTGAACTTCACAGGGAAGTGGGGATTTGAATCCGAGTCTCCCAGGTCCTCGTTGAACTCTCAGCTCAGCTGACGTGCTATAGCAGTGAGAAAGCTGTAGCCAACTGTGCAGGCATAGCACTTTGTACAGAGTCCTGATACCAACGTGTAACGTAAGAGAATTTCTCATATATTTTGTTCTGGAAGCAAGGCCCAGGGGGTTTGAAACTCCCACATCCAGGGAGCAACTTGGGTGAAGAGAGAACATTTGGAAGTGTCCCTAATATTCTCCCAGATTGTGGCATCTGATTCTGGGTTAGAAACAGATTACAGTAATAGAATGACGTTAGGCAAGCTGGTAATGTGCAGAAGAATGGCCAAGAGGATGGGCAAATCTTCTGCAAGCTTGCCAAAGGGTTGGGGTTTTTTTGCCCCTCAGTGAACTCTGCAGAAATGCCTGGTCTCACCAGTCATGCATTGATAATTAGGAACCTCATGAGGGAAGGGCTGTTCTCAGAATTTCTGTCCCCACCTCCCTGGTGTCGAAGCTCTGAAGCGTCTGAATCCCAAGGACTCTACAAAACAGGAGTCCTCTTAAGGTGCCTAAGATAAGTTAGGGTTGGGACTGTGGCTCAGAGATAAAGCTTAGCATGCAGAAGGTCCTCGGTTCAATCCCCAGTGTTTCCTGTTAAAAAGGATCAGGTACTGGTTGATATGGAAGATCAGAGGCCCTGGAGAGCTACTGCTGGTGAGTGTAGATAAGGCTGACCATAACCTTCATGTTGCTGTTAAGTTTAGTACCTTTTGGCAGGTTCACGCATGCACAGACCACACTTGATGGCTTGCTACTGTATGTGTCGCTTATTTCCAGGAGGTTGGGGTGGTTGTCATAGAGGTAGGTGCCACAAAAGTTCCATTGCTGTCATTGTTTCCATGGATGTAACGGCAAGTCAGTTGGGGTGGTTGTCATAGAGGTAGGTGCCGCAAAAGTTCAATTGCTGTCGTTTCCATGGATGCAACGGCAAGTCGTCTTCTGGTGGTTCATGAACTTGCAGGGGTGAGCTCGACCTTAGCTGTACAATGAGCACATTCAGGTATCCCGTAGCTGACACGCCTTATACTGAGATAAGAAGCTGGCAGGGTTATAGCCAAGAATCAAATGCTTTGCCTAACAGCAATATTTATTTTGCTAAGTGCAACATTTCTTTCTTTCTTTAAAATATTTATCAGCCACCTTTCTCCCCTACAGAGCACAGGGCCTTTTACAATATAAATAAAACATTATTAAAACATGGTTATAAAACTCAAAAAAGGTCACAGTTTAAAAACTCGTTAGGACTGCCAATGAGAAAAGCTAAATCAATTAAAATGCAGTCTTAAACTCTCTTCAACTGCCTCCTGAGGATTGACTGTGGAGGGGGCCAGGCGCCCCTCCATGGGGAGGCTGTTCCTTAACTGTGGGGCCACCAGGGGAAAGGCCCTCTTTTATGTGCCTACCCCGACAGGCGTCTTTATTTGGTGGAGTGCTAAAGTGCTTTCCATGCACAATCGTAGTACCTTCACAGAAACCCTTTAGGGTAAGTCAGCATTTATTAGTTGTGTGCATTAGTCTGTTTCAATTGCATTTTTTTGAAAAGTGTAATCCATGTTGAGTCTCGGCAAGAAAGGTGGAGTAAATAAAACAAAAACAGATTATCCCCATATTGGAGATAAGGCTGAGAATTCATGAGTGAATTCTTGCTAGTGAATTCATGAGACATCGATGGATGTTGGGGGTGGGAGCTCCCTGATCTACAGCTTGGTGGTGGTTTTTGTTGCCAGCTTTGATGGAGCTTTGCTGGGTGACTCGAGTCAACCTGGCAAGGCCTCTATTAGCCTTTTGTGCACTGAGAATGTGGATTGCCTTCACCAAGGAAGAAGAGGTAGTCATCTCCAGCTTGGGCAATCCCTAGAGATTTGAGGCTGGAGCCTGGGGAAGGGACCTCATCTGGGTGTATAATAGTCTACCCTTCAAAGGGGCCAGTTTCCTCCAGGGGGAATGATCTCTGCAGTCTGGTGATCAGTTGTCATTCCTGGGGATCCCCAGGCCCCACCTAGAGGATGGCAACCCTATCAGCAGATCCTGGCTGCTGCTGCAAGACCATTTATCAACACTGCACAGAACCATTTTGGGTGTAGGCATGGAGAGGACTTCTGCCCTGTTTGTAGATGGCTTTTGTTTAAAGGCTTATAGTTCAAATAGGCTTTTTTAAAAGTTCCATTATTTCCCATACTGCTATGCAGCTTCCATTGGGTGGCTTAAGAGGGCACACCTTGGTTGGCGCACTGTTCTTGCAGCTGCTGTATACCAAACTTTTGTTTTATTTATCTCATTTGTTGTTGGCTTTTCTCACTGAGGCTTGAGACAGATCACACAATTAAAAAGGACGCCACAGGAAAACAGGACAACAACTGATTTAAAGAACAGTGGACAAGCAGTGCCATAACAGCAGCATTACAAAATTAGTGGGTGCATTAGAAAGCGGTATAATATGTGCAGTAAAGTAGGTTTGCAAAACTGAAGAATGGCGTAATGCAATGCAATAAAAATGGCCTCAAATTTCAGATAGTCTACAACTCTGCCATCTTGATAAAATACTGTCTGCATAATGATAGGCATGGAGGAGCCAAAAAAGGAGGGGGAACCTTATCTTTTGTGGGTTTTGTTGTTGAATGTTCAAGTGGTTACTGAATCTTTCCCAAATGCCACCTTTATCTGACATGCAGTGGTGTTCACCCTTGGGCAGCTGGTGGTTGGCACGCTAGAACATTTAATCTTTTGTCACTTTATGGAATATGCCTGCCCTCAAGCCCAGAGCGCTTGCATGTATGTGTAAACTCTTGCATTCAAAATAAAATTTAAAATTGGAGTGGTGCATTCTTCTGGGTTTACAGACATCCGTAGTTCGAGTTTTGTGAACTTAGGCACGTATATGCTTAGAGAAGCTGAGGACAACATTCTGGAGGTAATGCATATTTGTTTGGTCTTATTGTTGCAGGCGGACTTGGTGGTGCCCAGAAGTCTGCTAACAGGAGGAAAGGCACTATGTTGCATACTCATCTGGATCAGAACAGTGCTAAGCCGCTTCCTGTGGTGATCATAGGTAAATATGTTCTGGGGTAACCTGCAGTCATTCAGGGTAACCTACTGTCATCTATGGTTATCTCACCAAGCCACCCTGTTCTTTCTGGTGGCAGGGTTCTGTACCAGTAGTGATAACTTCAGGCAAGAAATGTCCTCAGAATACCCTCTCAGTGCTTTTTGGTGTGAGCTAGAGTTGCCCGGTCCCCCTGGCTACCAGCGGGGGGTGGAGGGGTAGGGTTGCCAGATCCAGGCTGTGAAACACCAGGAGATTTGGGGGTGGAGCCTGGGGGAGGCAGGGACATCATTCGAGTACAAAGCCATAGAGTCCACCCTCCAAAGAACCCATTTTCTCCACGGGAGAACTGATCTCTGTAGTCTGGAGATGACCTGTAATTCTGGGGGATCCCCAGGTCCCACTTGGAGGCGGGCATCCCCAGCGTGAGCACAGTTTTGCTGACTGGGAGCCAAACAGAGCCTGCAGTCCTTGAATGCCTCCGGAACTGGCTTTTACACAGTTTTGGGACACTAAGGGGATGTGATTGATAGGGAAGTGGAGTTATGTAGGAGAGCATGCATAGAGCTGTGGGTGAACTTGCTGGGTATTTGGGGCTTGAGCCCCAGAAGAACCCTTACCCAGACCGTCTGACTTAGAAGAAGAAGAAGAGGAGGAAGAGGAGACTGGATTTAAACCCCACCCTTCACTATCCAAGGGATTCTCAGAGTGGCTTACAAACTCCTTTCCCTTCCTCTCCCCACAACAGATACCCTGTGATCAATGTTCCCTCTAAGCTGTGGAGTCTTGTGAGCAAACATTCTACTTTGTGAGCTACCGGCCTTAAAGTTGTGAGCGAGCGATTTGGCAACTGCATGAATCAGTTTGCTCTGGAGCCCTCCTTCCTGAGCCAAGATGAAAATGTGTGAGCCGGAGGCTAAAAAACTGAGCTGGCTCACACTAACTCAGCTTATAGGGAACACTGCCTGTGAGGTAGGTGGGGCTGAGAGAGCTCTGACAGAAGCGGCTCTTTTTCAAGGACAGCTGGACCAGAACTATGGCACAGCTGCATGTGGAGGAGTGGGGAATCAAACCCGGTTCTCCCAGATTAGAGTCTGCGCATTTAACCACTACACCAAACTGGCTCTTAATCTGGAGTCCCTATCAGTGCTTGGCAAAGTGATTGTCATCCTCGTAATGGAGAATATAACCGCATGTTAGAGGGAGATGGTTGATAAAATAGCCGTCTGTATCCCACCAGATCATGTACATTCTCTGTTTCCTACCTCTGCTCCAGAGTGCCTTACCTTCCGTCCTCTAGCTGATGTGGCATAGGTTACAATTGCCACTTCCACGTTGCTGGTTGCACAGATGGAACCTATCCAGGTTGCCTACCCCCGACACAAATCTCCGGCCACTGGCCTCCTGCCCGCAACAGGCTGGTTACCTGCATCCTTTCCCCCATCTTGGTTTCTTACAAGGCTTTCTTCTCCCCATCCCTCCTCCCAGTATGTGAACTATCTGCTAGACTGTCCTAGCTGCAGGGAGGAAGGTTGTGTAATCAGCACTTTGCAGGCTTACGTTCTAATTGCATAAAGACAACTTGTTTTTGGTTACCAGCCTCACTGAACTATGAGTTAAAATGGCCAGAAGTCATTCGCCTTAATTGCTCTGAACACATTTGATGATGGATTAGTACATTCTTGATAGTAAGCACTCCCCACTCCGTCTGAGAAGAGACGTCCAGGGCTGAGTTGCTGCTGGATGAGATAGCTCTGGTGGCTTTGGCTGCAGTCCTAAGAACACATTCCCGTGAGTGAGTCCCCATAAATAGGGTTGCCAGCCTCCAGGTGGGGGCTGGAGATTTTCTGGAATTACGACTGCTCTCCAGATGACAGATGAGTTCCCCTGGAGAAAATTGTTACTTTGAAAGGTGGAATCTATGGCATTATACCCTGGGGAGCTCCCTCCCCTTCCCAAACCCTTCCCTTCCCAGGGGATACCACAAAATCTCCAGGAATTTTCGACCTAGAGTTTGCAACACAACCCATCAAACAAAAAAGTTGCCTCAGATTGTTCCTTTTGTGCACGTGGGGTTGATTTTGTCCCTCTATAACATGCAAGCACAGCAGAGCTTGTTGGAAGCAAATGGATTCCAAAAGCAAGCAGCACCTCAGCTTGTCTGGCTTCGGATTCCCTCAGATCAACAGCATGGATCTTCTCTACTAACCTACTTGCTTCTGGCCCGGGTTTTTTTTAATCAAAAATAAGTAAGAATATTTTTCAAAATGCAAAATAAGTATCTACTGAAAACCATGAAGTACAGGATCACCTATGCCAAGAGGCAGAAGCTCATTATCAGATTAAAAGCACTCTCAAACAAAATGAGTTTTCTCTAGCTCCGTGGAGATCAACAGGGATGGATACCAAATGTGCCTCTCAGGAGGGAGTTCCCTAACTTGGCACAACCCTGTGAGCCCCTCACTGAACCTCTGAAGGCAGTGGAGCAAGGAGCAGGAGTTCTTCTGATGACCTCTATATGCAGCTATCTTTGATCAGGTGTTCTTTTCTGGCTTCAAGTCATTTAGAACTGACATCCTCGCCTTCATCCATAGAGGTTGGACACCACCCTATGGGTAGACTGCTAAATTAAGGAGCCATCTTTTATAGCTGTCTGCAGCTACTGAGGGGATATTCACCAATCACTGTGATTATTAGCAAACAAAGTATGGTTGGGAGGGTGCGTGATGCAACCACCTGACTGAACCTAAGCAGGGCTAGGTTTAGCTTGTGCCTGGATGGGGTGCCTTTTAGGGGTCCCCCTGCGCTCCGTCTTGAGTTATATGATGGATTCTTTAAAAATGGGGTTGGATCCTGTGGATCCATTCTTCTAACGGTGGCACTCCTGTCAGGCATATCAAGCTTGCTGTGCCGGAGGAAATGTCCACTGCTAGTGGAACAGCTCTATGGGGTCCAATCTATTAGATAAAGGCAGTTTTTAAAAAGTTTAAACATGAACATGATGTTATTGCAAAGGAATTGGCACGTGGCAGACAGAACCATGTCAATTAGCTCACGGCCGGAAGGCAGAAACCCAGCCATCTTGAAGTGGGGCGTGTTGGTGGTATCTGTTTCCACAATCCAGAGTGTTCAAATGACCAAGCAGGGCTTTGTTGTCTGAATCTGACCAATGTGGTGGCCGGATGGGGACCCTTGTGGAGAGCTGGTTCCAAAGCTGTAATATTGCCTTTGAGTGCTTTACCCACAAGTGTGTAGAGTAGGTGACGAAAGATTCTGGAGCCAGGTTGGCCCAGCTGAGATTCTGTGGCTGGAGACCTTCTGCAGAGATGCTGGTCCTGGGCCGTTAGGATGCTTCTTGCATCATATACATTCTCTGTACCAGAGCCAGAGGAGTTTACAGTAGCTTTTGCTAGTTAGCGGTAAAGGCCAAGATACTTTAATTTCAGCTTGCTGGTAAGCGTAGTCGTATGGGAGGCCTGCCAACCAGGGTCGGCTGAAATGAATCCTGCCCTGGCTGATCTCCCTGAGACCAAAGTAGGTCTTAATGGGACAGGCCCATTTACTTGCTGTTTGGGGAGGGGGGGATGCTGGGCAGCTGGCTGGAAAAATATTGTCACTTGACTGCCAGTGGTCTGGCCCAGTTGAATACTGTGTTTCAGGGGTCGTTTTGTAGAAAAAGAGCTAGGGGAACTCATTAGCATAACTCATTAGCATATGCCACACCCCCTGACATCACCGGAAGTGTGTCATAAGGCCACACCCCCTGACATCACCGGAAGTGTGTCATAAGGCCACACACCCCGCCCCCAACGGTCCCAGCCGCCACTGCCGGCCTTGCAGCTCCACTGCCGAACCCCATGAGGGGCCCGGCGGTGGACCTGCAAGGCTGGCGGGAGTGCAAGGAAGCCCCGCGAAGGCCCTCCCTGGCCCCAGGCAGGCAGGGGTGGGGAGAGGCGGGGAGGAAGCAACTTACCCTCCCTCTTCTCCTGCCTCTTCCTGGCTGAATGAGGGCTGGAAGCGGGGCGGCCGGAAGCGGGGGCGGGGCTTTGTCATGTGCCCCGCCCCCCGTACCTCACCCGGGGGAACTGCAATCCCCCCTGAAATGACCTCTGCTGTGTTTGTTAAATGGTGGAATTCACTGCCAGTGAACACATCAGTGGCTGATAGTCACGTTACCTCCACATTCACAGGCAGTAAATCTTTATGTATACACCATATCCTGCAGCCCAGTTTGCATGTTAGTGAAGACGTGCACATTGGCGTGTGTGAAAGAGTCAGTTAGGTTTGCTAACCTCCAGATGGCATTTGGAGATCGCCCACTATTACAACGGATCTCCGGATGACTACAATCAGTTTCCCTGGAGAAAATGTATGCTTTGGAGGATGAACTCTATGGCATTATGCCCTGTTAAGGTCCCTCCCCTCCCCAAACCCCACTTTCCCCAGGTTCCGCCCTCAAAATGTCCAGGTATTTCCCAACCCTAGAGCCAGTGCACATTTACTTTGCAAATGAAACCAGGGACCAATACATTGATAAACATGGGGTTTCAATCACACATTCAGCTGTGCATGAGTTGAATGTAACATGAGAATTCCTCAGCACACATTTAAAGAAAAATCAAGTGCATGCTGTACACAGATTGTATGTGTATCCATTGTAACTCATGAACACGGCCTTGGGTTATATGTAGGATCACTCTAATGCATGTTCAGGGCTTCTGTCACTGTCCTCCGAGGGTAATCCCAGACAGCTTCAAAGGCAGCGTGAAGACAGAGGGAGAAATCTCTCCTGCCAAGGCCCAGACAGGCTCTGATTTACAACCTTGGCAGCAACTTGTTTTGTGGTGAGAAGATGTTGCAACCGGCTGCATGTCAGCTGTGTGGCTCCACTCTTCCCTGTTCTCATCAGCTTCGAAGGCCTTTTGCCCATTTTACTTTGAGGCTGCACCATTGGCATTGAAATTGGGATCGGTGCAGGACTAGGGTTCTTGGCTTGTATTTCAAGTGCCCAAAAGCTTTCGGGTGGGGGGGGGCATGTGAAGTGTTTCTGTTCGGGCGTTTAGTGGATCAGTGCACAGGCAAGGAACGAGTGTTTCTCTGTATGTGATGTGCCATCAAGTTTCTTGTGGAGACCCTGTGATCCCAAATGTCCTACCATGAACAGCCTCGATCATGTCTTGCCAACTGCAGGCCATGGCTCCCTTTATTGAGTCCATCCATCTCGAGATGGGTCTTCTTTTCCTACTGCCTTCAACTTTTTCTAGCATCTCGGGTTGGGTCTTCCTCTTTCTTCTACTGCCTTCAATTTTTCCTAGTGCTGTTGCCTTTTCCGGTGAGCCTTGTCTTCCGATGATGTGGCCAAAGTACCATAGCCCCCGTTCATTTTAGCTTCTAGGGAGAATTCAGGCTTTTGATCTAGAACCCACCTTTTGGTCTTTTTGACAGCCCATGGTATCTGTAAAACTCTCCTTCAATATAAGAATGAGAGAGACGTTTAAATATGGCCCAGAAGTCACCTTTGCTCTCTGCTGGGATTTGTAACGTGGTGATAGTGCAAAATGGTATGCAGCTACTGACACCATGGGAGGTTGCTGTGTCACTCTGACCCGCTTCCCTGCATTTATGCAGCTGTTAGCTTTGACACATTCGAATGAGCAATGGAAGACGGAGCTGCAGAAGGTGACAGCTGGCCTGGGCGGGGAGGCTGTAAAATATTAATCTAGCCAAGAGAGGATTTATGCAACTGAACAGATCATCCGCATGATTGGTTGAGCAGTGAAGCTGAGAGAGAGATTGGCTTGCCTATGGGCGTATAGTGCATTTATGGCACAGGTGAAATCTCCATGGGGTTTGCATGAGAAGAGCCCTGTTGGATCAAGCCAGTGGTCCATCTAGTCCAACATCCTGTTTCACACAGTGGCCAGCCAGCTCTTCTGGAGGTCCAACAATAGGGCATAAAGGTCAAGGCCTTCCCCAGTGTTTTCTAGGACCAGACACTGGTGTTCAGAGGCTTACTGCTGCTGATCGTGCAGGTTCCCTTTAGTCAGTATGGCTGGTAGCCTCTTGATACACCTGTTCTCCATGAATCTTTCTAATCCCCTTTAAAACTATCTATGCCTGTGTCCATCACTACATCCTCTGGCAGTGAATTCCGTGTTTTAATCACTCATTGTGTAAAGAAGTATTTCCTTTTGTCCTCCTGATGAATGGCTCAGACTGTTAGCTGCTACACCAGTTCCGTGCCATAGTTTGATCTTTTCAAACAATGGAAACTTTGCAACTTCCTGTTCTTGCCCTCACATGTTTGTATATCTGATTTGACTAGGAGAAGGAAGGGCTGTGGCGTAATGGCAGGAAACCTGCTTTGCATACAGAAAGTCCCAGGTTCAGTCCCTTAAAAGCATTGGCTAGGTGAGACCCTGGAGAGCTGCTTCCAACCAGGGCAGGCAATACACCCTTGGTGGACTCGGTCAGTCTAAGGCAGCTTCATGTGACTATCACAGTGGAAGGGAATTTGAGCCCCCATCTCTGGATAAAACCTTCTGCTTAGCCGATGCTTCTAGCCTTACTGATGACCCCTCCCAATTTCTCTCTTCAGGAAATGGCCCCTCAGGGATCTGCTTATCATACCTACTCTCCGGCAACATCCCTTACGTCCGAAGGGGCTCTGTTCACCCCAACCCCATTTTACAAAGGAAACTGGAAGAAACACCTGAAGTCTCCATCTTGGACCAGGTTGGTATGGCATGGGTTCAAGACAGATGTCATAGGGAATGGCAGGATGTCCAAGCAGGCTGGTCCTTCTGTAGCTCTAAAACAATTACAGAAGAATCCTGTGACCACACCTTTCCCTTCTAGGTCCAGGGGGAGGTTGTGTTGGCTGCCTTTGCTCTTAGGTGGTAGGATGTAGCTACCACTGTGCCTCAGTCCTTCATATGAGGCATCCCCTTTCAAGAGTCAAAGTTCCCTTTGTCTGATATGAGTGATACAAGGTTGTAGGAGGCTGGATCCAGACTTTTTTCTCCTCCCTTTCTTAATTTTTATTGAAAGATATGCAGCAAAACAGCAAAGATAAAAAAAACGCATTACAGGCAAACAGCAGAATATGAAGTGAAAACAGAACGGTAAGATCCAAGAATAGACAAGGAGTAAACAAGGTACCCCCAACACATCCCACCGAATGACCGTCGCATCCATCAACATCAACCAAGAGTGGGATTAATTTCAGCCCTCTTCATGAACAAAAATGGTGATTGAGCCTGAGAAAGTTATGAAGTCTTCTGTTAGCATCTCTATGATCTTTTTTTCGTGTGGGTAAATAGACTTAATGTCCTCCTAAAGAAAGGGAAGGTGTAATTTCCACCAGTTCCCTCTTCCTGCTGCAGAACACCCCCAATGTGCCCATCATGGCATTCCTGCTGTTCCCCAGGAGTGGCATTATGGGTAGATCAGTGGAGTGCTGTAGGTGAGGGTGAGGTGGGCAAGTCCTCTTCGACTGACAGAATGTCTTCTGTGAAGGGAAAGCTGTCTGGAATCCAGCCCAGGGTCTCCAAATGCTAGATCTCAGTGCTGACCCCTTGGCATTCAGGATGGGTTTCCAGGCTGAGCCTGGGTCAAATCAGGCTGCTCTTTTGGACAGTTCCTGTTTGTTTAATGAGATCAAATTCTGAGGCCTTATGGTACCTTTAACACAGCCATCGTGGCTGTCAACATGTTCTACAGTTGGCTTTTTACAGTTGGGTGGGCGAGAGCCTGCATTGTATGAAAGCTGCTCTCTATCGATCAGTAATCTCTCGCTTCGGCAGCACATATACTAAAATTGGTATTTCAGCCAGTACAAGGGAACAACCAGCAGAAGCAGCTTATGGGTCTACCAGTGACTTTTGCTTAGCCCCATATAATGTCTTAAACTGGATAGCCCAGGCTAGCCCGAATCTCTTCAGGGGTCAGAAGCTAAACAGGATTGGCCTTGGTTGGTTTTTGGATGGGAGACCCCCAAGAAAGCCCCAGGTTGCTACACAGAGGCAGGCAATGGCAAATCACCTCCGAACATTTCTTGCCTTGAAAACCCTACGGGGTCGCTGTAAGTCGGCTTTAATTAAAGAGCAAAAAAAGTTTTGAAAGACCGGCAGCTGTAATTGTGTCTCACAGTGCAGGTACCACACTTGCTCACTGAATGCATAGCTTGGAGGTTGGGTAACTTAAGAGACACATTCTTCCATAAAACTAAATTTATGCCTCATGGCAGGAGGTGGGTAGTTATTTCTTCAAATGCAGTCCAGTCTCACTGCACCGCTTCCAGCACAATAAGCTTCATTTAGGTATTTATACCCCTCTTTTCTCCCCAGTGGGGACCCAAACAACATTGTTCTCCTGCATCTATTTTATCCTCATAATAATCACAGTATGAGGTAGGTGAGTCTGTGACTGAGGGACTTGAACAAGGTTGCAAAGTGGGCACGATCATGCTAGCTCCACCTGTGCACAATTGCCAGATTGTCTGCATGGTGCGAACACGCAGAGGAAGTATATTCATGTATGATCCTTCCCCATGATCAGCAATGTTGGGAAAGCAGCGTTGGTGGTCTTGGGGAGGGAACAGACACCTCCATGACTAGGCCAGCGAGCCTACTCTCCCTCCCTGTGCATTCGGTCAGTGTGTAGGTGTGGGTGGGTCATCTGTACCACACTCCTGAGTTGTGCAGTTGGGGTATGAGGAGCCACACAGATTTAAAATGGGATGCGTGCAGGGATTCACATGTTGGCCTGGTATGGATCAGACAAATGTCTGTAGCTTAAAAAAAATCTCAGTCCAAAGTTTGTGATAAGGTTGGCATCTTGTTTTCCATTTCCAGGATTTAGAGTACCTGTCTGAAGGTTTAGAAGGGAGATCATCCAGCCCTGTTGCTCTTCTGTTTGATGCTCTGCTACGCCCAGACACTGACTTTGGTGGGACGGCAGATTCTGTTCTTACGTGGTGGCGCCAGCCCAACAGAGCTGTTCCTCACCTGGTTCTTGGCAAAAACCTTCCTGGAGGAGCTTGGCATGTAAGTGAAGTTTGATGCATCAATGTCTGGGGTGGAACCATTGCTTTGTGGTAGAGCATCTGTCTTGAGTGCCAAAAGTCTCACATTCAATCCCTGGCATTTCCAGTTAAGATGATCAGGAAGTACATGATGTGAAAGCAAGCTAGTGCTAGGTGGAATAGGTAATACTCACCCTGGCAGGTCAATGGTCTGACTTGGTAGCAGACCGTGTGTCATGGGTGCATAGAGCATGTCCTCCAGGCTTGCTATCCAAGCCCAAATTAACTTCCTCTGTCCATATGGGTTTTTAATAATCTTGGAAATGACTCCAGAGTCCAGATGGTTCTGGTTCTGAGGCAATGCAATGCATACTTCAGAGACCGTGGCGCTACTGAATGTGGTTGTGCTGTGCAGCAACTGTATCTCTTCAAGACTAGAGCTGCCTGCCCAAGCAAGGTTAATGCACTCTGCCCTGTCAATTTGAAGTGTGTGCGTGCACGCTCTGTTTGTTGATAGTGCGCAGATCTCGTTTCCATGGCTTTGCTTATTTATGTCCAACCAGTGAAAGGCAACTTGTGCTGTCCCCTTCAATCCTGTCAGCTTTCAGATTTTATTTTTGGAAGGACAGGCAGTGGCTTGGGATTTCCAACATCCTCATGAGACTTGCTACAGCAGAGCTATCCAACTTCCATTCCTTTTAGGAAGGATTCAGATTTCTCATCCCTGCTGTTTCAATTACCCAGAGCGCCCTCTCAGTTTCCCTTCTCCTTTGTAAAAGTAGGGCATGCAGTTGTTCTAATTTCTATGCCTTTTTTCTTTTCCCTCACATAAAGTACTTCCAGTCAAATGTATATATCTGAAGAAGTGTGCATGTGCACCCAGAATTGAACTTTGTTGGTTTTAAAGGTGCCACTGGACTCAAACTTTGTTCTCTTGCTTCAGACCAACACGGCTACCCCACCTGAATACATGACCAATGCTTGTCAATAACTCAGCATTCTGTGTAAATGACAGCTATTGGCTCAGTTCAGGCACAATGTAAAACCATGGTTAGTTTGTGAAACCAGGATTCAGCTCACATTCAGTCACTCAGTTCCTGGTTTTCTTCGACAAATCCTGGTTTTGCCTCCTTCTGTGTTTTCTGGGAGGGTGTTGCCAAAAAACAATCCAGGATTAAGATATCTGCATTCAGACATCACGTTAAACCACAGTTAAGGCTATGTAGTTAATAAGCCAATTTCAGATCCTGGTTTGATGGACCTGGACAAACTATAGCAAGTGGAGTGGCCTGTGTTCTAATAATCCCACTATAACCAGAATTGAATAAAACCATGGCTTTGCACAATGTCTGAACTGAGCCATTGGATATGTAAACCCTGTATCAATCCCGACAAGCAGACAAAAACTTTTGACAAAAAATATAAAATATAAATACCGAGTGTAACCCACCTTTCTCTTTTCAGTCTATTGAGGGGTCTATGTTCACTCTGAGCCGGGGAGACTGGATGGGGCTTCCTGACCTTCAGTTCAAAGACTGGATGAGTAGGAAGAAAAAGTAAGATTTCCTTCCATTTTTTATGGAAACATTAACTTCCAAAATGAGACATGTTCATTGAAACCATTATGGAGCTCCAGTAGAGTGAAGTCCAGCTTCTGTTTAAGTTTGGAGAGACATAACCATACATAGATCATTCTTTCAGCACGTCGAAAATTTTAAAGAACCATATTTTGTGTGGTTGTTAAAACTCCAAGGAGGCTGTTATGTAGTAATAGGAAGAAATTTCCCCAAAGTTGGCTTGGGATGGAGAGGGGAGGTGGTGTGGTTTCCTTCTGCCTAATGCTCCACAATTCCTGATAAGAATCTTCTTTGGGAAACAGTAATGCTTCCAAACCCTTCTGGATGAAACAGATGATTAGTAGAGGATGTTCCGGATCATAGCAGCAGATAAGGTGGCTAGATTTCTCAAGCTGTTGGTTTAGTGTACAAGCCCAAACGTATCTTCATTCTGCTTCTGAACAAACTCACAGTGATCTTGTGGGTGGTTCTTGGAAAACCCCAGTAACTGGAAGTTCCTTTGTGTGCAGCTGGCTTTTGATTTGCATTCTTGAATTCTACTACAGATGGTTGCAATCTGCTGCTAGTAGTACAGGATAGGTTGGATACTACCAGTTTTTCCACTGGCAAAAGAGGGAGGAGGCCCTTTTTACCACTGTGCTTGGGATCTGTGCTGGGAACTGTAGGACCTGCATGAACAAAAGTAATGTGAAATGAGGGCTAGAGTGACAAAGCAGTTGGGTGACTTTGAGCAAAAAAATCTGGTTGGATCCAACCCAATGATCCAGGTATTTCCCTTCGCCCCATTTTCATAGCACAGGTGTCCTTTGATTATTAGGACAGTACTGATGGCGATGTTCTCATTGCAGAGGCTTCAGAAACAACAGGGCGACAGCTGGAGATATTGTTCAGTACTACCAATACTACGTGGCCAACAAAAGTTTAAAGAAGAATTTTCTCTGTGGAACTGTTGTGACATCTGTGAAAAGTCTCCATGTGGATGCTGACTACAGCAGTCAAGTTTCAAGAGACAGTAGCTCTAGATGGGATCTTCCTGAGAAACCACAAGACAATAGCAAAGAAACTGGAAAGCTCTTCCAAGTTGACGGGTTTGTCACTACCATCAATGGCACGCAGCCTTTCTCTGTGTATACTGAAAATGTGGTTTTAGCCACAGGGACATATGACAGTCCCTCCTGGCTTGGAGTTCAGGGGGAAGACCTTCCTTTTGTCCACCACAAGCTCTCTGCCCTGGAAGATGCTGCAAGGACCAAGGAAATTGGCACGATGTCAGATCCAATTCTGATTGTGGGTGCTGGACTTACGGCAGCAGATTCAGTCCTCTTTGCTCGCCACTGCAACATCCCAGTGATTCATGCCTTCCGGCGGAGTGTCAATGATCCAGCCCTGATCTTCAACCAGCTCCCAAAGACTATGTATCCCGAGTACCACAAAGTCCACCAGATGATGAAAGAAGAGGTGGCTTCTGGCCCAGGACTGTACGAGAGTTACGTCAGCCTTCCTGAGCACCACATAGTGTCCTTCACGGAGGACAGGAAGTGCATCTTCCGGGATAAGAGTGGCCGCCAGAAAGTGTACAACATTTCTATGGCTTTTGTTCTCATTGGGTCCAACCCCAACCTCTCTTACCTGCCAAATAATGGTGTGGACTTGGCGGCAGACTGTGAACAGCCAGTCAGTTCCAAAAGGAACCCGATTGATGTAGATCCCTTTACTTATGAATTGGTTCATGAGAAGGGGCTCTATGCCATGGGACCGCTAGCTGGGGATAATTTTGTGCGCTTTGTACAAGGTGGTGCTTTGGCTATTGCCAGCTCTTTGTTGAAGAAGGCCAACAAGAACCCACCATAATACTGGCTAGATCTCAGTGTTCTCATAGGCCAATGTCTTCTCTGGAAAAGCAAGAGCGTTGAATAGGTAGAAGCTATTTCAGCTAGGAAGTCTCGCCACCATAGCACACTCGGGGGTTGCCCTGACGTGCTGGGTGTCCAATGTCCAATTCAAGATGGTTCAATCAACAAGTTTGTGCTGGTTCTGCTGAACTTTTCTCCCCGCATGTAAAAATTGAAGATGGGCCTATGTAGACTGGCATACAAAATTATGGGAGATTGTCTTCTGCTCTGTGTGGAAGGGGTACAAGGTAGTAATACTTAACTACCTTGCAGGTTTTAAAGTAAAGGAACAGCATACTTGGGGCCCATAGAGTTTAATCTGTAACAGATTTTTCTTCTCAGTGTGCAGATCTCAAATTCAAGTGGGCCCCACCCCAATTGTGTTCTGAATGACTACAAAATCAAAATATTACCCGAAGAGTAACGGTGCAGAACCAAATTAAGTGCAAGGTTGCGTCTGCTTTCCTTCCCAGAGCAACTTTTTAGAGTTGGAGGGAACAAGAGGAAGTTGCAGGGTGGGAACTGGTGAGCCCACCCTTGGCTTGGTTGAAGGTACTTACACACACATGGAGGATAAGGCTTGCTTCAGAGCCCAATGTTCTGGTGGCCACAAACATGTCCTTGTATCCTTAAGGTGCATCTGTTGGGCTGATCTGATCCTTAGAACTGAAGATGGTACAGCCCTATGGGCCTAAGGGCCTACTGAGCCCTTGATTTCCACTTTTGCAAATGTGCAATTTAAGTAACTTCTGAATGAAGATGTAATAGCATAAATCTCAGGGGGAAAATTTAATGGTGCCAATTTAAAAGCTATGTAATAAATTTCCTCCATGCAATTTAATTTGTTACTGTGATGCTTTTTTTTAGGCTTTTATATCTTTCCGAATAGCTTTTGTATACTAATTATTTTTTGGATTAAAAGAATCGCTGTGTTCTGTGGCTCTATGGTTCTTTGATCCCGGTGTATTCTGTTTGAAGAGACTGATATCCAGATTATTCATTACCAAGGCTGCTGTTTCCAGGCACTCAGTGTCCCAGTTGGGACAATGTTTTCAACCTGAGAAGCTATTTATGGCGTCTGTCCTGATGCATTTGAGTGATACAAAGATGCATGTAGGACCTGAGAACCTTTTATCAGCTAAAATGTAAAAACTAAACTACTTGTGTCCTTCATTGCCCATTAGCAGTCTGGCAGAACTCTGAAAAACGTGCATTACTTCAATTCATCCATATGTGTACTGCAATGTATTTTGGAATGTCCTACAATTAAAAAAAATTGTGGCAGAGCACATTATGTTTTCCGGTACACAAACACCTAGGTTCTGAAAACATGCTTATGTGAGACCAAAAATAATTGCATTCATGTTAAACCTTGTAATTGTTTTTGTTCAGGCTGGGGTATTCTTCTGTGCCAAGAATGTATCTCTCTGTGGTGAGGTCGATGGTCTCCAGGGTATATCCACAACACTTGAACATACCTCCCAGGAGTAGTCTTTTCTGAGGGGATGGGAGACTCATGGGGTATTTTTTTATCTCAAAAACATTTGATTCTCTGGTTTAAAAAAAAAATCCCAGAGGTCAGCATCAATGTACTGCCTGGGTCATTTTGTAACTCAAGATGTTCTGTCCAGAAAGAAAGGCATAAGTGACTGTGCTTGAGGGACATTGTCCTAAGAGGAAAAAGTTGTAGAGCACTTTTTTAGACCAAGGGTCCCCAATGTGGGGCCTGTAGGCACTCTGGCACCCTTTTTTGGTACACACTAAGTGGTTTTAGAACCTCTGTGACACAATGCCATAGATTCCACCCTCCAAAGCATCCTTGTTCTCCCAACAGAACTGATCTCTGTAGTCTGGAGATGAGCTATAATTCTGGGGGACGCACAAGGGCTGGAATGGGGAGCCCCCCAGCACATCAATTTGCCTGGTGCAACATATGTCATGGCTTTCTGGCTCTGTGCCAAGAATGGCAGGATGAGTGTTGGCAGAACAGGTTGGCAGCTGCTGTTGGCACTCGTTCATGTACCAACTGCCTAGGGGTTTCCCCATACCTGGTCTCTTGACCCCCAGCCAAATACCAGAGCTAGGGTTGCCAGCCTCCAGGTAGGACCTGGGGGTCTCCTGGAATTATGCCTTTTCTCCAGTCTGAAGAGATCAGTTCCCCTGGAGGAAATGGATGCTTTGGAGGGTGGACCCTATGGCATGGTACCCTGGAGGTTGCTGTCCTCCCCAGGCTCATCTCTAAATCTCCAGGAGTTTCCCTACCTGGATTTGGCAGCCTTCCCCCCTCCCCTGCTGGTGGCCAGGGGGACCTGGCAACACCGAACCCTGGTGTGTAAACATAAAACAACTGCAAGGGTTGAAGTTACAAAAGGGTGCATTGATTTCTCTTCAAAGAGAAATTCCTCTTTTGAAAGAGGAAAAAGAGAGGAATCAATGGCTATATCTTAAACACAATTTCTGAAAAAGAAATTAAGAACATGAAAAGATCCTTGCTGAATCAGACCAATAGTCCATCTAGTCCAGCATCCTGTCTCACACAGTGGTCAACAACAGGGCATAGAGGCCAAATCCTTCCCTGATGTGGCCTCCTGGCTCTGGGTTTCAGAGGCTTAGGGTGATTTCTCACTAGAGCTGCCTCGCAGCACAGCGCCATTTGTCCCGACACAAACATGTCAATTTCACACCCGGGGCTGCATTTGACTCGGGGCTTCACCCAATTTCCTCCGCAGTTTCATGATCCTCAAAAACCAGGATCACGAAACTGCGGAGGAAATCGGGCGAAGCCCCAGTCAAAATGCAGCCCCAGAGCTTCGGGTGTGAAATTGACATGTTTGTGTCGGGGCAAACGGCGCTGTGCTGCGAGGCAGCTCTAGTGAGAAATCGCCCTTAGTGAATGTGGAAGTTCTCCTCAGCTACCATGGCTAGTAGCCATTGATAGATTTATCCTCCATGAATCTATCTAATCCCTCTTTAAAGCTATTTATTTCTGTAGCCATCGCTACATCCTCTGGCAGCGGATTCCACATTTTAGTCACTCTCTGTATAAATTAGAATTTCCTTTTGTCCATCCTGAACCAACCACCCATTAGCTTCATTGGATGCCCTTGAGTTCTAGAATTTTGTTTAAATTCCTACATTTAAATTGCTACACTTTTTCATTCCACTATTTCTCCCTGCTCTCTCGCTGTTCCAAGAATCCCAGCAAGGTCTCCGGGCAGTACATTTCCATTATGACATCCCACTGGAAGTCCAGCAGCTGCCCTTGTCTAAAAAAAGATCAATCGATTGGCAGCCATCCCTGGCTAAAAATAAATGTTTGAGCTAACTCCTGAAATCCCTGCCTCAGCAAACTGGGCCACGGCCCCGTGTGTCAGTTACATTAAACGAGGGGGTTTGGAATGTGGGGCGTTTATGGGGGCGGTGCTCTCCAATTTGGTTTCTGCTGTACGAGCCCTTGGAGACCAACTGTGTGTCATGTTCATACAGTACATTCCAGCTTGAGGTATCAAGTCTCAGACATGCAGATAGCCTCCGATCGGCAGAAGCAATCCTCTCCAGAGCTGAAGAGTGGGGACACCAAAACTTTCTTATTTATTTAGAACATTTATTAGCCACCTTTCTTCCTTATGGAACTCAACAAGGCAGTTTACAAGGCAGATAAAACACACAGTACAATACATTAAAAACATTAAAAACCCTAATTTAAATTCACTACCCAGGAGGACAGCTAGTAATAACACCATCTTCAGTTGTCTCTTAGAAAAAAACAAGAGGGGGACCCGCGATACTCGCAAGGGGGGAGAAGAGCCCCGTCTCCTCCACCCCCACCCCTCGATCTCCCCGAGGCGGCGGTGGCAGCGGCGAGGCCGGTGTCCGCCCCCCGCCCCCGAGGCCGGTCTTCCCCCCCACCTGCCCGCCCCCCACCCTGCCTGCTGGCTCCGGGGAGGGGGAGGAGGCAGCGGCGGCGAGGCCTCTCTTCCCCACCCGGCCTCTCTTCTCCGCCCGCCCTCCCCCGCC